ATACGTGACATTCGACAGCTCCACCCCTTAAGAAGGAATGGAGCTAAATGGTAATTTTTTTATTTTTAAAATTGAGTACTTATGTATTATAATATAAATATGACTATTTAACCACACATGTAACAGGTTCAAAAATAACACTGAAGTATCAACACGAGTTAGAAAGATCATTGAAGGGTGTTTCAAAGGACCATGGTACAGCTGGGAAAGAGTGCCGCCGTTTTACAAGGAGGCATGGTTTTCAACGTTTAAGGTTTGCTTCAATTACAAATTTAATGTGTACAATACTTTCATCCATTATTTTATTTATGTTTGATATAATTTATATGTTAGACAAAGTATGAGTGGGATGCTTCGATCGAGGATCTAGTAAAAGCGAACTTTGATCATCTTGCTGCTACTCGCCTTAAAGGAATGGTTAGCCTTGCTAAGTCCAAAAGAAAACAGCCTGAATGGATTCTTTCTGAACATTGGAGAGTTATGGTAGATTATTGGATGACACCGAAAGCGAAAGAAAAAAGTGAGAAAGCTCGTTCTTCTCGGCTGTTTAGTCGTGATGGTTTAGGTGTCCATCGACACAGAGCAGGTTCACGTTCTTATGCTAAAGTGCAAGACGTTTTGGTAATGTTTATATATTTTCTTTTTAAAATTTTGATAACATTTATGTTTTTTTTAAGATTTGCAGTATTTCTTACATTGTATAATGCTTTGCTTATAGGAGGCAAACAATGAAGACTCTTCCTTCATTGCTGTGATGAAAAAAACACACCAAAAATCTGACGGTACGTATGTTGATGAAAAAGCACGGCTAATTGCAGAAAAATTTGATGAACATGTGCAAGAGCGCTTGTCACAAATGGAGTCTTCCAATGGAGAAGTTTTGACAATAGCTAGTCTCAGCCTAGAGGAGAAAAATGAAATCTATGTTAAGGTACTTTTATAGATTAAATTATGCATATTTAGATATTTTATATTGAGTTAAAATACATCTCATTGTTTATGTACTTGTATTTTTTATAGATTGTTGGAATGTCAAAACAAGGTCGTGTATTTGGACTTGGATCACTTCAAAATGGGGTTTCTATGCTTTTGGATGGTTCATCAGTTCCCTCACAGCCTATGGAAGAAAGGAGTGGGAACGTTAGCCCACCGAGTTGAAAAACTTGAAAATGAATTGAGGAAGAGTCGTGATGAGAATTTACTCCTCGAGAAACGTCTCCAGACAATTGAAGACATCTACATTTCCACAAGTTCCGTTGGAGTTGCTCCTTGATTGAATTTGCTATGCTTTTTAATAGGGTTTTGTTTCGTTTCTTCATAATACTTTGGCTTTGGCTTTTATTTCTATTTCACATCACGTTATTTGATTTGGATTTTAGTTCAATTTCTATTTATTTACTTTAATTATGAATTAATATAATTATTTTTACAAGTCTTTTTTTCGTCCAAATTATTTTTACAAGTCATAAATAAAAAATAGTACCAAATCCTGATAGTAGAAGACATTTTCTTTTGTAATTAATTGTGAAAAATTTGACACTTTTAATTCCGTCTTAATGAGTGAAAATTTAGAACGTAATAACAGTAACAAAACATAACGGTTTTGAGACCATATTTAGTTGGTATTTCCTACCGATTGGCAACAATTTTTTGGTCATCGTATGTGACGGTTTGAGACTATATTTTTGTCGTAATGAGTGACATAATTAAAACGTTATGACAGTCACACAATATAACGGTTTTGCAACAATATTTGTAGTTGGTATTTGTGACTAACTGGTGACGAGTTTTTAGTCTTTATTTGTGACGGTTTAAGACCAAAAAATTTGTCATAATAAATGAAAAAATATGACGGTCCTGAGACAGTTTTTTAGTTGGTAATTGTGACGAACAAGTGACATTTTATAAGTAACTAAATGCGACGTTTTTGAGACTATAGTTTTGTCGTAATTAGTGACGAAACTGAGACGTAGTATCAGTCGCACATTATGACGTTTTTGGGACACAAAATTTGGTAAGTAACTGAGACAATTTTAATACGTTTATGGATCGTTACATTTGGTGACCAAATTGCAACTCTCTTTAAACGTCACAATGGCTGTGACGTTTTAGTTACAAAAAAACGTTTGTGACACTTTTATTGCAACCATTCACAAATCGTTACTGATTCGTAACAATATTTTTATTGTGACGAAAAACTTATTATTATGACTATATATTTCGTCATAATAAAATCATTTTCTTGTAGTGAAAATATAAGCATAATATATATATATATATATATATGCATAATATAAACATAATTTAAACATACGTACATATGTTATATACATCGGTGATGTAAAAACTTGAATATTTTATGCAAGATAAATGTATGTGTAAGATATTATAAATATATACTTATAAAAGCTATTTTATCTTATAAAATAGGTGCTTTGTTTGAGGTTGAAGCTACTGTTGAAGTTTCTTTGTTTCAGTATGATGGTGATGATGATGAGGATGACGACAACGTCTCAATGGACGTTGTCGTCAACTTCGATTCAGATCACTCCGGCTAAGAGGAAGAGGAACCAGTTCAACAACCTCAACCAGTTCTTCTTCTCATTTCTCCCCAAGAATTACAGTTTCTGTTCAATACCAAATGCGAAATATGTCTCTTTGAATTCAAATCGGACGGCGAATCGTTGGCAGATATTCCATGCCATCATGCGTTCCACCTTGGTTGTTTGATTAAATGGGTTAGAGAATGCCCTATCTGTAGAATCAGTTTCTAAATTGGAGAATAAATTGGAATAGTTGGGTTATTAATTTAACTTTTAAATAATTAATAAACTTCTTGTTGACTTACCTGTTTCAACTAATTTATATGGACTAGAACAGCTTTACATAATGATTGGCTTTCCACGACTATTTCCTATCAACCCGTTTATATACGAAATCTTATATAGAGCCCTAAATACTTTGTAAAATTTCTGCTTATTACAAACATCAACCTCTTAAAAGTGTATTTTTTTTATAGAAATACCTTGAATTTTTCAAAATCACTTACTCTCGATTCCAATAAATCTTTTCACCAAATGTCTCATCGCTTAAGGTTTAGATGATGAATTAATTTTTGAATGGTTTATGTTTCTATGTTTTTTTAAAAAGTTTTGATCTGGAAACATGTATTTAGAATTTTTTTTCGTATAAATTTGAAACTTTTATTATTTAATGATATTTACATTTTTATCAAAATAGGAAAAAAAAATTAGGTTTCGCTGTATGATTTTTATCATCTGTTTGCACTTCTTACTGATATTTATAACTTTTGTAGATCAATGGAATGCCTTTTAACAAGTACACGTGGTTAATGAATGACAGATGATGTAGATTAATAATGTGTTGTAAAAGGGGAATATTATCGATTTGGGGCTTTACTGGGGCAAAAGTTTCAAATTGGGGACTATTGTTGGGTCTTACATAATTAGGTATTTAGAGAAAAGGTAAAAAATCTATTTTACCCCTGTCATCTCTTACCTTTGCTTCTCACTATCGTTACTCGTATCCGACACAACCCTTGCTTCCGACGACAACCTCGCTTTTCCGACCACCGCTTCTCACTGTTCTGCTCGCTCCGTCTCCGTCAACTCCATCAACAACGTCACTTCAATTCCATGAACACCATATCCTTCGCCTCCGACTCGTCTCCGCCACCGTCGAGACCATCTCTTCCGATGAACACAGTTGATTCAATTAATCGCTTCTTGAATAAAGGATACTAAACCCTAAGGGGATAATGTAGACTAAACCCAAGGGTTCCAATTTTATACATCGATCTCCACAATTTCTGAATGGTATCATGAATTCCATTGATGAAAAAATTAAACCCTAAGGAAACTAGTAATTAGTGAACCCAAGAGGAAAAAATAAAACAAACTGAAAAACTCAAACGAACTGTGAATTGCCATCACAGATCTGCATCTCCCTTATGTATTTGTTCTTCGATGTTGCTCATCGGAGAAGGAGACAATGGACCTGCAATCAAAACGGAGTATCTTCACATGTTCGTTCATGAGGCGAGAAAACAGAAACCGTTTGTTGGTTTTCCGGCGATCGGAGCTTTCTTCGCCGGCGGTTGCTTCCGCTTATGCTTCTTGGATTCCATGGCAGCGTCAACTGTTTCTTGAATCGCGACTTCACTTCTCTCTCTCCGGTGACTTCTCTCTCTTTGGCGACTTCTTCTTCTTCTTGGTTCCATTGATACGCTGCGTTTCGGAGAGGAGAGAGAGATCTGGCTTTCCGGTGAACAGATCTGCTTCTTAGTTTCAGATCTCTCCCACGCTTAATCACACCACCGTCTGGTTTGGTTTTTTCTGTCGTCGTCTTCTTCCTCGTTCTCCAGATCTAGAAACGGCGATAAGATCTGAGATCTCTGAAGATGCGAAGAGAGCTTCATCGGCTTGACCTGGCCATTAGAGAAAAGCTCTTCAGCTGAAGTCATGGAAACGCCGCCTAAAGGACCACTGTTTGAAGCCAACCTCGACGAGAAAACAAAGACTGTCATGGCGAGAAAGACGATCAATTGTCTATGAAGTAAGGGTAAAATCGACATTTCCTTAATCTAAAAAATGCCTAAAAACGTAACATTGGACATATGTACCGGATTTGGTAATTTTGGTTGGGATAAAGCCCAATCCGGTAATTAAATCTTTGTAAAAGATATCAAAAACGGTATTTTGGTAACGTATGTATGAAATAATTTCTCTAATCCTGTCATCATGTGATGGTGATGTTGTGTTTTTTTATCATTTACCCAATAGTAGCACTTTGCTCTTGGACTAAGGCCCATGACAAGTAACCCTTACAAAACCAACGCATTTTTGACTTGGTGACGAAGCTCACACGCAAAAAGAGGACCTTTACTCTCTCTCTCTCTCACCACTTTCACGTAATTCGAAGCAAAGTTCACGTTTCTTCTTCCGTACATTTTACAATAAAACCCTCTTTTGACTTTTCAATACATAAAATTAAGAAAAAGTTTATTAAATAATCGAAAGTCCAAACTTCAACTAAACAACGAGATTATACAGTGATTAATCCAAGCATAACACAATTAAAGACGAAACAAACAAACACTGAAAGATAAAATTCTAAACCATTTAGAAACAATAACAAGGTTCGTGTAAGTGAAGAAGTCTACAAAAGCGTCTCCGGCGGTAGAAAAACGCCGTTCTAAGGCGAGACCAAACGACGCGTTTCAACTTCCGAGCTGATCTAAATCTCGTTAACACAACTCGTTTCACTCTTTTAACAGATCTTGAAACTTTCTCAGTGAAGCTCTGTTTTCTTGAAAACTGGTAGCTTCTGAGAAACAACTGTCTCTTCTCCATATACTCTCCGTATGGAGCTCCATGAGTACCGTAGTAGTCACCACCGCTACTGCTTCTGAACACAAGCTTTTCACTCATCGGAACCTGAAAACGCTTAGCGCCGTCGCCACCGCCGTAGTCAAGAAGAGTTTGGTTAGAAGCGTGTGTTAAACTCTTTCTCTCTCTCTCTCGTTTCAAGTACTTATACTCTCTTTGTGTATTCTTATTGACACAAAGTAACACTTATGTGCTCTCTCTCTCTCGTTTGAAAGTCTTTGTTCACGTTAATACATCCAAAAATATCTGGCAAGACTTTAATTTTTAACCTATTCCCAAGAAGCAACAACATTCCACTAACATAAAGTAATTACAGTGAATGTAATGAAAACCATTTGTTTCGAGAATGAATGTGTGTATTTTTCAATCAAAATTACTTCTTTTTATGAGGCCATTTTGTTTTGAAAATGTAAAAAGAATACTACTTTTGTTTATTTCCAATAGACCCATACATTGAATCAGAAGAATTTAATGGAAATACTCTGTTTTTTCAATTGAAAATTAAAAGTTTAAAGATTGTTTTATTAATAAAATTATACAACATGATTTCAATAGTTTTTTTATTCTAAAAAGAGAATCAATATCGATTATAGCAATCTTATAGAAGAAGAATGAGAGACCTAAATAAATAATTACAAGTTTGGTGGACAAAAGTAGTGGAAGTGTAGTTAGGTGTGTGAAGATGTGACAAGGCATTAAAGAAGGATAAGCTAACTCCTATGCATTTATACTTTGCTTGCTATGGTCAAAACCTAACGCTATCATCAATCATCCTAAGAACAAGATCTATGTTTGCAAATGTCATCACAATACTACTTCCAAGCTCAGTCACCATCTGAATTCAAGGCCTTTGTTTCTTACTAAAAGATCTCAAACTTAAGAAACTGATGCCAACAACACACTATATATGTAAACACATTATCAGACTCTGAAAACTCATTTGGTTACATGTATAAAAAAAAAAGTTTCTAATTTGCTACGAGCGATTCACAAGCTTGAGAAGTAACCAACTGGGAAGTTCCATATTCTATTATCTACAAAGCAGGCAAGGACAAAAGAAAATGCCAGTAGAAGACTCATTGTATAAAGATACAAAAGGTAAATGGTTTTATAAGCTTTTTCATTTATCCTCGAGTCTCCAACTAACAACATCTTCTCCAACTAAGAACACACCTCAGATGATTCATCTGAATCCAACTATTAGGAGCATGTTTTGTACCTGTTAATGGTGATTTCTACATCTTCTCTGCTCCTATCTAGGCCCACTTTCACTTGCAGAGGGTACATTGCTGGGGAAACTAGATAGATCGATGTCAATGAGCGACATATCATACATTGTATCAAGAGAATCCGAGGCATCCACGAGCAAGGAAGATTTCACAGCATCAGAGCGTGCAGGATCAGAAGTTACGCTAGAGCTTTTTGGTGAGCTTGCCTCTGAAGATAGACTACTTGAGACCGAAACACCATCTATCTTGTTTGCATACACGGGTTTGTTCTTTCTCATTGCATCCATTTCTTGGCCTGTTGGCACAAAAGTTCTCGACCGGTACTTCTTTGTTCCCTCGTCACCACCATCTTGATGGTTATAGAGCACATAATCGTGATAGGTAGGAGCAAACTGCAATTAACAATCATCAGGAAACCAATATGAAAAAAATTATATTTGAAATAAAGATGGTTTTAAAAGAAACCAGTTACCTGGTGAACAGTGTCATGGTAAAAGTCATTTAGTTTTACAGCATGTGATAGGCTCCCTGAGAAACTGCCAGATCCACCAACATTGGCACCAGCATACTCCTTGTATGGAAAAGCATAGAAATGGCATGCTGCAGCAATAAGCATCTCAACACATATTATAAAATTTTGGAAATGAGCTGCTGCCTCTGCACTCTTTATGAATCCAGATTTTGCAGCAAGGAAAACGAGAACACCCTGTACAAAGAGAGAGTCATGGAACACAATCAGAAAAAAATGATAGCAATAGTTGATAACAAATATTTTTGAGTCAGAACGCATATTTACCTGCCAATAGGTGAGAAAGACCACAGACTTTATAATCACAAACTTTGGGACTGGATTGAATGGCTGAAGTAGATCTCTGCATGCCATATAAAACAGCACAAGTGCGTACAAAGCCACTGTGTAGGATATGGTATAGATGATGGTAAGATAGAGATATGCTTGATCAGGGTTAAAATTCCCATCCTTGTACTTCCCTTTTGCATATAGCACAAGTGTGACAGCAACTAGAATAGGCTTCAGGATAACAAACTGCAGACAACCTTGCTTGCATCGTCTAATAAAACGCCTGCATCGAAAAAACCATGGTACATGTGCCAATAGATGTCAGCTAAGAGGACTGTCTTAAGAATATGCGAGCTAAATAAGCATCATAATGAGACTGAGAGGTCCAAACAGAACATTCAATGTCCTTGATGAAACTTAAACTGTGTGCAACTAAATGGTTGTCTCTGATGACAAGCACTCGTATAGATTATTAACGTGATTATACAGAATCTAAAAATTCGCACATGTTGTATGAATTGCACAGAAAATGGTACTACAAAAATGATAGGAAATACCAGGAGCGACTATATAAACACAGCCTTTATTGATAGGTACAAAGAACTTGGTTTCGAACTTACCCGTCCAATGTTAAAGGCGGAAAGCAACATGTCATGAGAGACCATGATGGCTTTAGAGAGCGACCACTCAAACTAAGCACTACTGATCCTGGGCCTCCAACCCATGCCAAACACAGAGATAGGAAATTGTAAATAACCCATGCTTCATATCTGAAACACCAAAACGGTCATTAGAGACATAAATGCCATTAGGCCAAAGGCCGTTGACTTTGAACGGAAACAGAAAACTTTCAGGACCAACTCTAAGACCTATTGAGACACTCTAAAAGAAGAAGAAAAACACCACTAACATCGTCTATGCCACAACTAGAAATTGAGGAATACTCACACTTCTCGTATGGAATCAAAATATATCGAGCTTTTCGGTAACACAAGAGACAAGAATGACATGAAGGCATAAACCTGGCAGCAAGAAACAACATCCAAGAACATGTCAGTGAAACATAATCCAACATTGTAAAGACTAAACAATTCAAGTTAGAGATCATAAACACTAACCGGAACCATGAAGATAATGCGTACAATATATCTCTGATAAGTTGGTTCCGTGTAATTCAAAAGATGCCTGTAGATATGAAATATAGCCAAAGCAATAGCTCCAACAGTACATAGAAACGCCACAATATTCAGATAAAATGGTATCAAATCCGCCATTCTGCAAAATACAAAGAAGAGACATAAATCTCTATGAAACAAACTCATCAAAGCAAATGCAAAAAAAAAAGAGATCTTTGGTTACAACAAACCTCTACAAGAGCTAAGACGGATCTGTGAACAAATCTTCAAATTTCCTCTTCTTAAGGTATCAATAGGGTTATGAAATTGAAGGGTTTCACCGATATCGGAGCAAGAACACGAACCCAATTCCGCGATTTACTAAAGTTGGAAACTTTATGTCAGAGATCGAAGAGAAATGACGCGAAACGCAGAATTTGAGACACGATCCAAACGCAAGTTAGGGGAAAGATCGTACCTTTGATATGGAAAGGCGAAGAGAACAATGTAACCGTAGTAACGAAGCAAAACAGAAACAGAAAAACCCTCAAGAGAGGAATTTGTGGATGAGGGTTTTGAGATAAAAGCCTTTCTTCTTCGTTTAGAAAGGAAAGGAGAGAACTTTATCACAGCAAAGCAAAGTTCGAAATGCACAGAAATTGTTAAAAAGGAATGATTTTTATGTGAAGAGATTAGTATTATTTAGATGAGCAAAGAGGTGGAATCGATTCAACGTCCATCCAATCCAGCCTGTGAACTTCAAACCCTAAATTATTTCATATATTTTTGGAATAATCTATTTTGTTTAACATATTATTATTTAAAGGTCTACCCAATTCAATGATTTCAATTATTAATTCACATTATAAACTAATGTTATGATTTGTCGGCAAAGGATATAAATCTATAGCTTTTGTAATCTGCATTAGCAGTTTTAGCTATAAAGAAAGAAAAACGTTGAATTTTACTATTTCGTTATATCAAATGAGAAAAATAATGTTGAAAAACAGTTTGGTATAAAATTAATTATTGTAGTTTAAGAATATTTTTTTTCATATTAATATAGATGTATATAACAACAATTTAAATGTTAAAAGGATAAGTTTTACATGTACTAGGGGAAAATCCGGGCTACGTCCGGGTATACATTTGACATTTGAGTTAGTTTATTTTTAAAATCTACTTTTAGTTTTATTAATATATTGAAAAAGTATGTGATTTTGTTTCCGTTTTGAAAATCTACTTTTAGTTTTATTTGTTTATTTTGTAATTTAAACTTACAATTAATATTATTTTTTAGGTTTTACTACTGTTTTCATCATAGTAATTTTCAAGTCTCACCAAAAAAAAATAGTAATTTTCAAGTTGTCTCTACCCATTTTTGGTTTTCCAGCTTTTGTAGTCCTCTTTATTTATTTTATTTATTTTTCTACTTCTTTGCATTCCACTTCTGACTCAGAAGTCTCAAACGTATATATATATATATATGGAGGTTAAGAAAAAGATTATGAATATGATGTGGAAAAAAAATTGATTTGGTATATGAGACTATCTGTAAACGTTATGTCTTGGGCGAGAAATGAGTGCAAAATCGAATTGGATCTTGTGGGTTGATGTCTCTCGCAGTTTGACGTTCACTATGTTCCAAATCCTTCTTGTATTTTCTCATCTGCTTTCATTCACTTAATCTTCTCTCTTCCATACATCCAATCAATTTTCTACATCAATTGCTACAAGTAAGAGCCACCAAGAGTGGGTTCCCATATCGTTGCACAAAAGCACTGCACAAAATAATTTAATTTTAGTGTAAATTAATTGAATATATAGGCCAGTAAAATGAAAGAGCTAAGAAATAGGCAACATTTCACGTTGTGGAACACTTTCTTGCAATGGATATATCTTGCCGATCGTTTACTCTGATGAACTTTTCCTCTAACTGTTCATGTACGCTTCCGAATCTAGAGAAAACAACAAAGCAAAGTAAGAAGAATGGAAAGTTAAAATCGTGAAATTCCTAAACTCTACCTTCGTTTGGTTCTATCATCTTCTACACATGCATGATCACACCATTTTGACATATCCTCAACACCTCTGTGTACTAAAATATAACAGAGAAACCAAACCAAATTATCAAACCAATTCACATACATTTTTTGTTTTTATATTGTTCTTCGTCGCATTCGCATAATCAAAAATTTTAGTCAATGATTCGGGATCCAAGGAAAAGACTTCAACGTAACCAATGCTCGCTAAAGGAAAAGGTAACTGAGCTTGGAAGATGAAGCACTGGTGGAGATGAAGCAATCACATGTGTGAATCCCTTAGTCACCCTTCACATTAATTAAAGGATAAAATTACCGGACTGGGCCTTTTTCCAGACAAAATTACGGAATCCGGTACGATTGCCGGGACTTTCGTTTTAGGCATTTTCACCTGCGAGGAAATGTCCACCTTGCCCTCACGCTTAAGCTCCCCGTGTACGCTTTGAATTTTGATTTTCCGTCGCTTCGAGACCATGATGACGTTTCTCATAAGACGAGCTAAATCAAAGCAGCTGTTACACGCTTTGTCAGTGTGCTTTCTCTCTGCTCAAAAAAACAATTTCTTTACTCCTCTTGAAATCGAGAGCCGAAACTCATCAAATCTGCATTAATCGCACTTCAAGTAGCTCAACTCTCCGATTATCACCCTTCTAGGAGCTCAACTCTCCGATTATCACCCTTCCAGCAGCTCAACTCTCCGATTATCACCCTTCCAGTAGCTCCTGCGAAGCTCCGCCCTTAAATCCCGCTGACACAGGACTGACTAATAGTGTACGCATCGCCTCACATCTTCTTCTTTTCTGGGTTTCTCTGCAGATATTTTACAGTTTTGCGACCTCCCTTTTCTTTAGTTTCGGATCTTTCAATCCAATTGAAATTCCATTTTTTCTTTCCGATATGTACTTCCAATGTTATGCATTTTTATTTACAGTTTTTTTTTTCCCTTCCTCATCCCCGTTGATTTGTCTTGCGCTTTCTTTCCTCGTGGATATCGCCTTCGTTTCCTTCATACTTGTATTTGATTCCTAGCAGGTTCAGCTCATAACAATGCCTTCCAATGGGAGTCTAGCTGATCATTTCCTTTCCAAAGGTATATGTTAACCCCACGAGCCATACTTATCTGTTTCTATCACATAAAACGCCCTAACCTGATTGTATTCATTATGGTGTTTAGTGTTTTACCCTTTCCCGTTTGGGTTTAGGCTGTCTATGTTGTTCCCGTAGGGTTTAGTTTTGAATATTAAAGAACTCTATATGCTTAGTGTTTTACCCTTTCCCGTTTGGGTTTAGGCTGTCTATGTTGTTCCCTTAGGGTTTAGTTTTGAATATTAAAGAACTCTATATGCTTAGTGTTTTACCCTTTCCCGTTTGGGTTTAGGCTGTCTATGTTGTTCCCTTAGGGTTTAGTTTTGAATATTAAAGAACTCTATATGTCCTGCTTCTCTTATTATCTTTGCTGCCATTGTACTGCCCTGTAATGTTATTCTCTGTTCAGTTTAACCCTTACCCTTTTGGTTTACTGATTATTGTTCTTTTTCCTGCCCATTGTTCTCCACCATTGTTGCCCTTTTAAGTAGCTTTATAGCCTTCTCTCCATTACTGTATACCATTTCTTATTGTATTTGTATAAAGTACTCTTAACCACCTCCGCTTTTCCATACCTTGTAGAAGACCTGCCTGAAAGGATTTTTCAAGTCGATCGGTACCCTGGCCATGTGGTGCGTATCAACTCATACTCTAAGCCTCAATACCTAATTGACATACTTACTGCATTGGAAGGGACACCTGAGCTGCAGAAGCTATTGTCGTCCCCGCTTGGGTCTTTATTCTCCTTGCCGGTGAGGCAAAGTTCTGTATCTGGCCAATTGGTGCACCAGATGTTATGTAGACAGCTTCATACCACCAATGTAGACGAAACGGACTACTACCCATCATACAAACAACTAAATTCCAGTGACAGTTGTGTGAGTTTCCAACTTAACATCAGTAACCTCACAATGAGCTTCAGAGTAATCGATTCCAGAGCTAATGGATATGTATAGGAGTATAAAAGCGAAATCATTACCTCAGAGTTCATGGTTCAAACGGCCACCTTCTCTCTATGAACTTCTATCTTCAGCTCTAGCTTTATGAATCCAACAATTTTAAACAACAATTATCAGATCCAAATATCCACAAACACCTACCACTCTTCTTATATCCTGTATCGTTTCTCACGTTTACCTACCCCACGGATTAAGCTTACACATCGTCGTTTCTCAGCCACAAAGAAGCCGGCACTGTTGGAGATGTCATCTCCGTCGTCAGTTTTGCGAATTCAAGCAATTCCAATCCCGCCCAACTTTTAGAGGGCAAATGTGTAATTTCGCACGTGTGATAAATGCCCAATTTGAAAGGCCCGGTAGATGTTCCTTATCTGAAATTTCTGGGCCAAATAATGCCCATTTTGGCAATTACCCCTTAATTAAAGAGGAATCAACTCAATCAAGGAACGTTTAAAAATTTCACACCACACTAATAACAACAAAATATAAGAAACCAAAAGAACACATCAAAGTACCAAAAGAACCTCAATTAGTCCCTTTTATTAGTAAGAGATGCTCATTAATATATTTGTAATATTTTATTAAAGTTAAAAAAAAAAGACGTTAAAAAAATAAGTTTTAAAATAATAGATTGCAAGTTTGTATGAAAATATTAATCTATGTGACAAATTATATGTAAAAAGTGAAACACATTATAAAATATATGTCATAAAGTTCAAAAAAAGATTAGAAAATGTCTCAACCTATTTTGCTATGACAAAATTCACCATTTTGATTTTTACTTACAATACAACCATTTTACTTTCCTAATTACCCTTTTCTTAATCTACTATATTTACAAAAAAAATTTTAAAAAAAAGAAATGAATTTTTTTATTCTATATGAACTACAAAGGGGATGAGGATCCTTATAACCTTTTTTCTTTGAAGATGTATCATCTTTGACAATGACATTATCTTCCGTGTATCAATATGAAGTTAGCAATAATTTTGTATGGTATCTAACAGATCGTTGTGGTGAAACTGCCTTAAAGACGTCCCAATTTCAACAATGGAAGTTAAAGTGATCTTCCACTATTCATTCTACTAGTGGCGGATAACGTAGGACGAATAAAAAGAGATAAAAATATATGTTAAATTTCCAGTTGTGGACTTATGGATAGATTTTTGGACAACAATGATTATAAAATTTACTTCAGTTTTATTGAGGAGGATCAGGAGGTGGTAAAAAAAAAAAGTTTTTAGGAGGACAAAGATCATATGGGCAATTACGGCACCCATGCTTATTAGGAGATTGATGAACAATCTTATTAGGAGATTGATGGACAATACATATGGATTTCCATATGCTCTGATTTCTAAAAAGGTTCATACTAGTACAAATTGGATCATCAAAACCATCCACAAAACATTACGAAAGAATTTAAAATTTCATCGAAAAGATGATACACGAAATAAAAATAATATTATATTAAAGACGAACATAAAAAAATAACAGATTTAATAATATGTTAGCTAATATAGTTTTATTCAGAAAAAGATGTAAATTCAACATTTTTGATTGTTTACTACTAAACATTGTTGGGTTGTTATGTTACTTTTTTTAATACATGTATCTATTTCACTATTTGTGGTATACATTGCATCTAAACACTATTTAAAAGCGAGATACTGAAAAAGAAAAATTAAGGAGGGTGAGATGAGACTAGTAGGGCTGTAAACGGAACGAATATCCAGTTTTTTTAAGATATCCGTATCCGTATCCGTATTATCCGCCAATTTCGTATCCGTATTCGGATCCGGAATTCCGGATATCCGGTATCCGGATATTCGTTAAAAATCTGGAAATCCGCGGATATCCGCGAATATCCGGAAATAGTGTTTTTTTTTTTTTGGACAAACCAGAAATAGTATTTTAAAATCTTAAATTCATTAATATCATACATAAAAAGTTTAAAAAATTCACAAAATAGCTAGAAGTTGATTATATATACAAAACATAATAAAAACAAAGAATTTATTAAAGTAGCAAAAAGTTTAAAAGATTTAAGTGATGTTCTTAAAAAAAAAAAGACATTAATCAACTTCTTAAATCCTTCTTAAAAATTTCTTTTTATTTTTTTTGTCATATGATTTATTTATTAACATTGAAAATTAAATAAAAACAATTAAAAAGTTGGCTTCCAAATTTTTTTGGGCTAACACTTGAAAAATGGACTCATAAGACATTTAAGGGTTTTTTTTTTGCCGGATATCTGTTATCCGGCCCAAATTTTTGCATTATCCGAATCTGTATCCGTATCCGGAATATCCGTCATTTTACTATCCGTATTCGTATCCGTTTTGCCGGATATCCGTTTTTTCGAATCAAAAACCGGATACGGATACGGATATCCGTGGATAACGGATATAAATCTCAGGCCTAGAGACTAGTACTGTAGTACATCCAAAAAAATATCTATATCCCATCCATCCAAACATGGCCAGAACCAGAATGATAAAAGCCATACAATGGACCTAAAATATACATAAAATAAGCCCAAACAAAAAGCCCATTAAAGCTGATATTTTAGACCAACTTGAGTGGTAGAAATAAATAAAGATAGGGCAGAAGCAGAGAAGCAAAATCGTGGAAGGTTACAAAGCCTTTCAAAAACCTCAACACACTCTCTCACCTTATCTCCTTCCTTCTCCTCTCCGTCGAGCTTAGAGTATCTCCCAAAAATGGCGTCGACGGTAGGAGTTCCATCACTTTACCAAGTTCCTCACCTTGAAATCTCCAAACCCAATTCCAAAAAGAGGTCTAATTGCTTCTCTTTATCTCTCGATAAGCCTTTCTTCACTCCTCCTATCTCTCTTGCTCGTAGAACTCGTCTTATCCATTCCTCTTCTCTTCTTGTTCCTTCTGCTGTTGCTACCCCTAATTCTGTTCTTAGTGAAGAAGCCTTCAAAAGTCTTGGTCTTTCTGACCATGACGAATATGACCTTGACGGTGACAACAACGTTGTAGCTGATGATGGTGAAGAACTTGCTATCTCTAAACTTAGTTTGCCTCAGCGTCTTGAAGAGTCTCTTGAGAAGCGTGGTATCACTCATCTCTTCCCCATTCAGGTTCGTTCTCTTTTGGATAAGTTTAGCTTAGGTTTCGTTTATGTTTCATTTCCAATTTCAAAGTTCTTAAAAATGGTTCCTTTATGGATAAGTTAGCTTAGGGTTCCATTATATCTCATTTCCAATTGAAAAAATGGTTCCTTTATGGATAATTTGAAAATTCTTTAGACTTATCTGTGTTTACTTTAACACCACAATCTTTGATATGTTTGGGTCTCTATTGACATGATTTGTTTGGTATATGTGTGTGAAGAGAGCTGTGTTGGTACCTGCACTGCAAGGAAGAGATATCATAGCTCGTGCAAAGACAGGAACTGGAAAGACTTTAGCTTTTGGTATCCCTATCATTAAACGTCTCACTGAAGAAGCTGGAGACTACTCTGCTTTCAGGTCTTTGTTTATTTACTTTGGTATACCATTTGTTTAGATGTGACTTTTTCCATTGGATTTTGCTTAAAGGTTTAGTTTTTTGTTATTGAGCAGGAGGTCTGGTCGTCTTCCTAAGTTCCTTGTTCTTGCGCCGACTCGAGAGCTGGCTAAGCAAGTGGAGAAGGAGATTAAGGAGTCTGCACCTTATTTGAGTACTGTTTGTGTGTATGGTGGGGTTTCTTACACCATTCAGCAGAGTGCTTTGACTCGTGGTGTTGATGTTGTTGTTGGAACTCCTGGGAGGATCATTGATTTGATTGAAGGAAGGAGTCTTAAATTGGGAGAAGTCGAGTATTTGGTACTTGATGAAGCTGATCAGATGCTTGCTGTTGGGTTTGAGGAGGCCGTGGAATCGATTCTTGAGAATCTCCCAACTAAGCGACAAAGTATGCTTTTCTCAGCTACTATGCCTACTTGGGTTAAGAAGTTGGCGAGGAAGTACCTTGACAATCCCTTGAACATTGATCTGGTAAAAGCTTTTTTTGCTTGCTTTTTTGTTCGTTTTTTTTCAGCTAGACTCAGGTGCTTAATGCTATCTTCTTGTTTGTTTTACTTGTTTGGCAGGTTGGAGACCAAGATGAGAAGCTAGCAGAGGGGATCAAACTTTATGCAATCGCAACCACATCAACATCAAAACGCACTATTCTAAGCGACCTTATAACAGTATGTCTTAGCTGATAATTTGCTGTTTTCTAAACATGGTCGATGATTGACTGGTGTCTTTAGCTCTCAATTGATGATTTAGATTCTCTTAATTTGAAGGTGTATGCTAAGGGTGGCAAGACCATTGTTTTTACCCAAACAAAAAGAGATGCAGACGAAGTTTCTCTTGCATTGTCAAACAGTATAGCTACTGAAGCACTTCATGGAGATATATCCCAGCATCAAAGAGAGAGAACACTCAATGCTTTCCGCCAAGGGAAATTCACTGTATTAGTTGCCACTGATGTTGCATCTCGTGGACTTGACATCCCGAACGTAGATCTAGTAAGTTTTCAAAGTTTCGCTACATGGTTTATCATCTTTTATGGCATGTTTGCTGTTTGTTCTGATATTTTCTTCTACAGGTTATCCATTATGAACTTCCTAATGACCCAGAGACTTTTGTGCACCGTTCTGGTCGTACTGGGCGTGCAGGGAAAGAAGGCTCTGCCATTCTCATGCACACCAGCAGCCAAAAGAGAACAGTGAGGTCTCTTGAGCGTGACGTTGGCTGCCATTTTGAATTCATTAGCCCGCCAACTGTTGGAGACTTGTTGGAATCGTCAGCAGACCAAGTGGTGGCCACTCTAAATGCTGTCCACCCTGACTCGATAAAGTTTTTCTCAGCAACTGCTCAAAAACTATATGAGGAAAAAGGAACAGATGCTTTAGCTGCAGCTCTAGCTCACCTGAGCGGTTTCTCTCAGCCGCCTTCATCAAGATCTCTCCTCAGCCATGAGAAGGTTTAATTCTCAACCATGCTTTAAAATTTCAAGAAAACAAATACGAGGTCATTGACCTTTCTAGAATGCTTCTTGAGAGTCCTACAAACTGCAACATCCCCTATACAGCAACTCCTTTTATTCACGTGGATGCGCTTAAGGCCTTTATTTAGATTTGAATTCCGATCATCCGTTAATCATGAACTGAAGTTAAAAATTTTGGACTGCAGGGATGGGTGACTTTGCAATTGATCCGAGATCCAACAAACGCTAGAGGCTTTCTGTCTGCGAGGTCTGTTACTGGTTTTCTTTCCGATGTTTACCGTACAGCTGCAGATGAAGTTGGAAAAATCTTCTTGATCGCAGATGACAGGGTCAGTATCTTTGAAATGGTTGTTACTTTAGCAGTAGCGTCAAAACTATCTTCTTTTGGGAATTTATGTTTCTGCTATAAATCAGGTCCAAGGAGCTGTTTTTGATCTACCAGAGGAAATCGCGAAAGAGCTCCTAGAGAAAGAAGTGCCAGAAGGAAACAGTTTATCCATGATAACCAAGGTATTGATTCTGGCTTCTCTTAATTTTTGCTGGCTTTCACTCTTTTGATCCAACATAACATATGCATAAGTAGACCTTTTTGACTAACACTTCACATCGTGGGTTTTGACTGTAGTTACCCCCACTGCAAGATGATGGACCGTCTAGTGATAACTATGGACGGTTCTCTAGCAGAGACAGGATGCCTAGAGGAGGAGGAGGTTCTAGAGGGTCAAGAGGCGGTAGAGGAGGATCATCACGAGGCCGTGATAGTTGGGGAGGTGATGATGACAGAGGAAGTAGAAGGAGCAGTGGCGGAGGAAGCAGCTGGTCCCGTGGTGGTAGTAGTTCCAGAGGAAGTTCTGATGATTGGTTGATCGGTGGCAGAAGTTCATCAAGCAGCAGAGCTCCTTCGCGAGAGAGGTGAGTATTTAAACAAATCTGTGTTAAAAAAGCCTTCACACCATCCCCATTCAACTGATTAATTGATGTCTTAAAAACAGAAGTTTTGGAGGTTCTTGCTTCATTTGTGGGAAATCAGGACACAGGGCAACAGATTGTCCTGACAAGAGAGGATTTTAGAGTTATCTTAGCAAATGGTTTCTGATCTTGAGAGAAAGATCCTTGTCCTTTTTTTGGTGTTCTTAATGCGTATCTTTCCGTGCTTGCTTCAACCGTTTGTTTCAGACGGTAGAGAAGCAATCATGGAGGAGGATACATGCTTCGGACAGGGTAGAGCAGAAAAAAAAAAAGAGAGGCAAAAGCAAAAGTAAAGGAGAAGGTTTTCCTCAAATTGGCATTTTCAGAGATTGCTTGAGAAACAAGGAAAAGCTGATGAATCTTTTTTTTATGTTAGGGTTATTATAATAGTCTTAATGATCAGTTTCCATGTTTCTAAGTTTTTGTATGATTTAAGTGGTTATTAGTCAGTCTATTTACACTACTTTAATTTTCATTTTTGTACGTTTTCTATTGTTATATGTGAATTGTGATCACATGTGTTTTGACTGAAGTTATTATGTCACTATAATAGAATCATATGCAAATAGATTTGTCACACAAACACATCAGAACAATATATAATCCGTGTCGGATTGGCTCTCGCTAGAGGATAGTTTTCTATCAAAATCTTAATAAAATGGTGTTTTTGAGGGATGAAAATAAATATTATATATAATACTTCAATGTAAACATAGTAAAAGAATACATCCTTGGGACATCAATATAAGATAAACTTCATATAAACTGATGAGACACACAATTTCGCATAAACCGAAAGATACAAATGGAAACAGATTAAGCCGCGGTGGGGGAAGATGATGGTGTTGATCTTGAAGGTCGTTGTGGGAGACCACATTTCGTCAAACAATCTTGGTAACATGGTTTGTTTTGTTTGCCACAACTTATAGAACAGTTTTTGAAGCACACAAATCTTGAATCTGGCTTGAATTCATCAAAATTCGTTCCATTGCATGCTTGTAAACCACATGCCATCATTATCAATGCCATCAACATCATCATCTTACACACGTTTCCTGTCATTTTCTCTTACAAGTTTCTTTTGTTCAACGGCTGATTTTTTTTGTTGTTTGATCGATACGAGATGTGTGTGCCGTGTAATGGTAAAGAAGAAGGGGTTTTTATACTCATTTTTTTGGCTCTATATATAGTACATTTACTATTTTTTGTTGCTTTGACTTAAATAGATTTGTGTTATTTCTGTTTGATTTGAATTAAATAGAATTTTTGTAACTACTGGTTTGAATTGCATTCTCGTTGTTTCTTGATTTTCTTTTCTATCAAAAAAAAAGTTGAAAGTGTAGTAATGATGACTATGATGGTCTAAGAGTGTTAATTAAGGAAGATGGTCGGGACCAAACCCGAATAACAAAAAAATGGTTAACAACGGTAGACTATAATAATTTTTGTGATTAGAACTCATTATTTTCAGACTTTTCGTCTCTTGTTTATACTATACAAACAAAAAACAAAAATCGTTTGGATTTAATATTTTACAATTACACGAGGAATTATATGTCGGTCTGGATTTATAAAAGAGGATTAAAATTTAGATTTTATAATTAAACGAGATTATATGTTGGTTTGGATTTATAAAAATGTGGTTAAGATTTTGGATAACGAATATAGAAAAATCCGCATCGTAGTGGGTACTCACCTAGTATATTTGAATCACAAAATCTGGTGTAATCTATTGATGTAACCAAAAAAGAAAAAAAAAAACTTTACTAGAAAAAAAAGCATAAGATTATGTGTGATTAATGAAATAAAATGGGGGTAAAAATATCCCTTTTACAATACTTGTTTTTTCTTCAAAATAGCCCCCACAATATTTGTCATTTTTATACGTTTTATAAGGTTTTATAACGATTTTAAAAAGTTTTAGAAAAGAGGTATTTCGAAAATAAATTTGCTAACAAGCATTTTTGAAGAGGTATTTCTCAACAATTCTCAAATAAATTAATTTTTTATCACCGAGTTAAATTTTAAATTTTTGTTTTAAAAACCAAATTATTATAATGAAAATTTTGCAGGAAATAATTTATTTTCGTTGATTTTTGTTAGTCTGATTTTTGATCGAATTAAAACCTTATTGTTTTTCATTTTTATTTGTCAACTAGAAATTTTAGTTACATACCGAAAGAAAAATCCAATGGTGAACAAAATATTAAAACCCCATTTTAATTTCGTAAATTTTTAAAAAGAAAAGATATTTTGAAATAAATTTGAGCGGTAAAATTGAAACTTTACTCTCAATTGGATAATGATGTTTCAAGTGTTTTTAAAATAACATGTCATATATTTTATTACATAACATGTTATTTTTAATTTTATTTCATGCTATCAGATGACACAATTTTATTTAAAGAAAAGCATTAGGTGGACCTGGATTAAAGAATATTTTGGTTAAACTGTGAAAAACTTGATGTCCACTTGTTTATGATATTGCCACTAAGATTATTTTGAATATATATTGGTGACTTTGATGGCTAACAAAATAATCAAACTGATATTTTGTTGATTTATAACGATAAATTTGAATATTAAATAAAAGTTTATATAGTCAGTTTTAACAAAAAAAAAATACCATACATAATTAATTTAAATTTATTATAAATCTCAGTTTTACATTAATCATAATCATGAAAGATATCCTTAGCACATAATTAGGATAAAACTTATTATAGTCCGGGAAAACGTAAATCAGAAAAGAAAAAAAAATAGATTATGAGGTAGGAGGAGTTGATGATGATGATGCTGGTTTTGGTTTTGAAACCCATACTAGACCACATTTCTTCAAACATTTTTTGTAACACCGGTTTTTGTTTTGGTTTTGGTTTTGGTTTACACTACAAGTTATGGAACATCTTCTGAAGCAGGCAAATCCTTTGAACATCGTTGGATTGCTTTTACCCACATTCATTCCATTGCATGCTTGTAAACCACATCCTATCATTATCAATGCCACCATCATCATCATCTTCCACATGTTTGCCGCCATTTTTCTCTTTACAAGTTTTGTTGTTTAATGACTATTGTTCAATATATGTGAGATGTGAGTGTTTATGTTGATAGTGATAAAGGAAGTTGTTTATATATTGAGATTTCACATCTTTATATAGTGCATTTGTTATTTTTGTTTGGCTTGATTTAAAGTAGATTTTTGTTATTCTGTTTGATTGGGCGTAAATAGAATTTGGTAACAGTTTGCCATGAAAAAGAATTTGGTAAATAACGTTTGAATTAGATTCTCGTTTTTTTTTCTTCTTTTTATCTCATTTAGTGATTGGAAAATATGAAAATGTATGAGGTATGATTAGTATTAATTGATTTATTCATTTATATTGAAAACGACAAAGTGATTAGATTTTTGGGGAACAATCATTGATTAATTTTTTTTTTTTTTTTTGACAGCCACAATCATTGATTAAATATGGTTAGTCTTTTTTAAAATTTATAATTATAGGAAATTAAATATTAAAAAAAATTAAAACTAAAATTAGATGTACTATGGGTTGCCTATGTAGTATTTAATAATTAAACGAATTTTATATGTGTTCGATATTTTACTAAGTTATACTATCTGTATATAATATAATTTTTATGATAAGAATTATTTTTAAAATATTTGATGTCCAACTTAAAAAAATGCTCTGAAAAATATAGGAAAATCTATATATACATTTTTGGATGACTTTTAGCAAATAAATCCTGGAGTTAGAATGTATTTACGGATGAATGCCATTGGCATTAATTATTTAAATTTGAAAAATATTAATTAAAGATATTACCAACACGATTTCGAGAATCATAAATTCATATCTTCCTTAATTTTCTGAGTCATTAATGTGATAATCTTTAGGAAATATTTCTCTGTAAAAAAAAAAATCCACATTAATGAAGGCATTAAAATCGACACTAACAATTAAATTATTTAGATATTCAATTATTTTAAGATTCTTATATCTTATTTGATATTTTTTTTTAATATCTCATTCTTTAATTACTGCGTTTAGAATTTATTGGTTGTTACATATTTTTTGGTGAAATTTATTGGTTGTTACTTAATAAGTAATTATGGTGCGTTTATTTTAGTTAATATCTAATTTAAAGGATTTGTTTTCTTTTATTATTAATAAACGAATAACATGTATAGAAATAAAAGATTTTTCTTGCGACTCCATAATAAAAATATTAAACTCTTATTTTCTACATTTCTTACACATAATATCCTCTTATTCAATAACAAAAAATATATATTGCATATTTTTAAAAATATTTATAATATTTAAATTATATAAAAAGTTTGTAATATTAATATTATTTCAACTCTATACAAATTTAATATATATGTATATATATCTTATGGGAACCATTTAAAAGAAATTTTTAAATTGACTTGAATTATATAGCTTTTAAATAAAAGTATTATTAAAAAGAAAAATAACTAAATGATGTTTAATTTCACGGGACGGGTAATATGATGGGACGGGTTTGGGTTGATATTTATAAAAGATAGTATACCACGGGTGAAATTCTAAAATTAACAATCAAAATAATCTATCAAACAAATTACATTTTGATTTTTTTAAGAAAATATAGCCCCGCGGTGTACCGCGGGTTAAAATCTAGTTATATAATAAAACTAAATGTAAGTGCACACACACACAATCTTTTTTTTTTTTTTTATCAATTTACAAATTCTTTTATATGTATGTTCCACCAATATTTTTAGATATGATATATTTACCAAAATAAAGATCTATAACCCAAGAAACCAAAAATGTGTTTTCTGACCAACAATGAATTTGTCATATTTCAACCACAATTCACGTTCCCTCATCAGTTATGCATTGTCATTGATGTATAAATTTAGATTACATGTATATTGCACCAATAATTTTTCTGCTGGACTTACATATATATTTGATGAAGGAACGTGAATTGTAGCTGAGCCTGAACCATGGGAAACACATCGTTGGTCCCATCCCATTGAGTGAGTCTTCTTCTTCTTTTCTTCCTTTCTATCTTGGTTTCTTGAGTTCTAGATTTATAATCCTTTTTTTTTTGTTAATATGTAAATATTTCATTAGAAAGTGAAAACCGTTAGGAGTTATAAGAATGTAGATTCTATGATATTGAGATCCTATGGCAAAAAAAAACATAGAAGCAAAAGACAATCGGTCTATCGACATCAACTAAAGCAGTGACGTTTTCGGAACCAATATAGCGATAAATGATTTTGAGGAATCAGTTAAATGAAACCTCAAAGAGAAAGATACATGTTGTCAAACAACTATGATTAATTCACTGATAACCAAGTGAGAGGAAGTCTTTCACAAGTGAGCCGAGAAGACTGAACCATCAACGGTGTAGCACGTAGAGCCCTCAATAACACTCTACTCGCATCGCGTGAAAGTGGCTTTATGAACTTTCCATGAGTTCTTTCAGAGTGGAGCCACACTAACTAAAGAAGACGATAGCGCTAGTTCACTCTACCAAACAGAAACTCATTCCCCAAGATCGGTTAGCGCATAACAAAATCTAACCGTACAAAACAATGCTACGAATCCGATTGGTTCTTACTAGCTCTTCCAAAATCCCAACTATCTAATCCACAAACCAAAGCACAAAGCCAACACAAATCAACTCCCCATATGAGTTGTTTGTAATCCTTATGAGGCTCCTTTTGCTTTATTTGTTTTCTTAATATTTGAATTTCATAAAAATACGTAAATATTTTGAGTTGATTGAACTATTTTGTGTGCATGTTTGTATTAACCGTGAACTAGGTTCGGTATAATATTATTCGTAACTTTTGAGAGCTTCGCAATTTCAACATCAGGTTTTAAAATGTGATACAATAGGTACTACACATCGTTATAATCATCTCTATGGAATGGATAATACATAAATAAATAAATAAAAACAAAAAAGTTGGTCTTACATGTAGAGAAGATTTGCATCAAGAACAAATCAGTCTACATTTTTCGATGGTACTAAACAAATTCAATTTTTGATTTACTTCCAAAAATCCAAACCTATTAGTTCACCCAATTTACCCAAAAAATAAATCAATGTCAACAAAAATCACAACACGAATATTTTATCTAGTATATTATAAAAATTTAATTGTAGAAATTACAATAAGCCAATCACGGATTGGCAGACAAAAGTCCCAACCAAAATCCCATCAAATACAAAAAAAAAAAAAAAAAAAATTGAAACAAAACAAAAATTATATAATAGGTAAAAAGGTGTATAATAATAACAGTAATATATCATATGGTTAATAAGAAGGTAAAAAAAAAATACGGCCAAGCAGAGACTTCCTGGTAAGAAATATGCAACGCCCAGCTCTACCTACAAAATCATAAACAAAACAAAGACATTCATAACCATTCTTTTGTCCTAAAGGTTCTTACAGAATTAGATACCATTATTACACTAAAACAAGCATCAGCTTCTACACACTTTATTCCAGATTCTAAAGTTACCTTACACTTTTATAGATCAAAACATGAGTTGGTTTTGAACATAAATAAGAAAAAGTGATCATCATTGACTGATGCATACATACCTGATCAATTTATCGGGGTTTTCGGTATCTCTTTACGTTGCAGCAGCCTAGGCTTCAACCTAAATAAAACGTTCACATTATCATTAACTCAAGAATCTGCAAGAGTGTTTAGCTCTAGTGATTCAATAATGGTTTCATATTATACTTGGCATATAGTCTTAAAACGATATCACCGTGCCAAGCAGATTTGCAGAAAAACATAAAACTTGTATCAAAGTTTATGCAAATGCATTATTCTTAATCTTACAGAAGAATCATAAATCCATGATTCAGACTAATAAACATCAGTTACAATCCTCTAAAATAGAGGTGGTTCATCGGAATCTTGAATTTCCTTGTTGACTACTTAGAGAATAGCACAACTATTGAGTTTTACCTTCTCAGCTTCAGGAGAAAAAATTGCCTTCACCTCCTCGAATACAGCTTCAATGGGCTTTGCGGCATTAATCTGAAGGTAAGTAGTACAACAAACACTTTGTTACAACATACAATTGTTGGACCTTAATGCAATTACAGAAGAGAAAAGATTTTACCTTCCTGACTTTCCCCTTAGCTTCGTAGTACTGAATCACTGGTAAGCTAGATTCAAGAAACACCTTAAAGCGCTTCCTTATAGTCTCAATATTATCATCCTCTCTCCCCTTCAACAACAGAAATGGACTCAACAATCAATATATATGTAATGTGGAATGGAACAAGAGCTTAGACAGAATTAAGTGACAGAGCATTTCACAACATACTAACCTGGTTTCGGCCCAACAGGCGCTTCTCCATCTCTTCCTCAGGACAATCGAAGAACAAGACAAACTTCGGTTCAATCTCAGTCTACAAAAATCATCAAAGGCATGTAATTATCAAAATGGTATCACAGAAAAAGAAATGCATAGATACCTGTTAAGCAACTTTAATATACTTACAACTTTTTCAAATGCTGCTCGGTTTTCCTCATTACGTGGGAAACCATCAATAAGGAATTTGTCATTCCCGTTTTCCTGAATAGCTTTCTGTAAAAGCTTGATTGTCACCTCGGACGGTACAATCTTCCCCTCTTTAATCATATTCTGGATCATAGTTCTGCAAAACCATTGAACAGCTTCATTCAACACAATAACAAAGAACCTCAAGAATGACAATGAAAGCGAAGGTGACTACTCTTCAAGCTTTTAGCAACCCAAAACATTAGTTGAAAACCAATAGTGCTTATGCATAAACATTAAAAATTCCAGAAAGTTTTAAAGGCATACCCGTTTTCAGAACCTGATTTAATCTCAGCTCTAAGAAGATCTCCAGCACTCAGATGTGTGTAACCAAAATGTTCAACAATATAGGCACACTGGGTACCTTTTCCACTTCCTGGTCCACCTATTGAAAATACATCCAAGAAACAAACTCAGAAGATATACAATAAACCTCAAATAAACCAACCAAAGAGAACATCACAACGATCATAAGCACAATGCAAATCTATCGACAATATCGTATAAAGAGACCTGAACTTACCAAGGACAAAAATAACTGTGGGTTTCTTTCCATTTGAAGCATCAACAGATCCCATGGTACTAAGCAATTTGTTAAAATATTACCTGAGAAGAAGAATCAATCAACCAAATTAGATAAGGCATTGATATTTTAGTGTAACTTATTGAATACAATAAAACTATAAATTAAGCATAAAGAACATGATCTTTGTTCTTACTTCTCAACCATTTCAATACAAACATTTCATTAACATCTAAATAAATCACAGATCTAAATGCTAAGATCAAGTGATGTAAGCAGAGATAAATTCTGACGTATATAGATCAACAAAACAAATCAGATCCGAGAGAAGAAGAAGAAGAAGAAAAAAAAAAACGAAAACTTTAAAACAATTCAAATCTTAAAAATGTAATCTTTACCAAATTTTCTTAACTTTAAAGAGAATCGATTCGACCAAAATCAAAGTGATTCAATTGCAGATCTAAATTCAGATCCGATTGAAGAACAATGAACAAAGGAAACAAATTTCATCAAATTTCTTAAATCAAATTGATACCCAGAATTTGCTAGAGAACGAATCTAAGATCTAATTAGAGATTAGACGAAATGTAAGATCGAGCATTGGAGATAATGACATGAATCAAAGACAAGAACACATGTTTTGTTTGAGATTCAGAGGTAATTTTCAGACAGAAATTAAGAAACTTTAGAAGAGACATTGAGAAGAACGCGAACCTGAAGGAGAAGGAAACACGGAGAATTTGGTCAGACGATGAAAAGTGAGAATCGAAGAAGAAGAAGAGGAGACGATATAAATATGCACAGAGACCTATACATACATATATGTGTATATAGAGATATTTATATATTTGTACATTCCTTTTTAATTGTTTTTTAATCTTCTGTTGTTACTTTTTAAGGGTGTTTTTTTTAATTATTGTCCATTTGTCTGTTACTTTAATTTAAATCAAGCTTTTAATACAGTAGTTGAATTGTTTAAACTAGATTTTAACTCGCGATACAACAGGATGATTTATTTTTAAAGTTAGTATAAAAATATTTTATAAATTATATCTCTTTATAAAATATTTATTTATATTATTTTATAATTGTTATTAAGTAATGGTATACCACGAGGCCACGAGACAATTGTTAATAAACTCACGATTTAACTCGTATTAAAGCGGCATGTTAATGATATTTATAAATATTGATTCAAATTTGTCCGCCATATAAATCCATTCTGAAATATAACCCGTTCCGTCATTTCTTAACCCGTCCCATGATTTGTTTTTACTATAAAATTTAATGATTATTTATTATATATAAAAGTTTACAAATCATATCATTATCTAAGTTATTTATATTTAATAAACTGAAGATTTAATCTGTATTAAAACGGCATTTAATTATATTTTAAAATTTTATAAATATTAATTCAAACTCGTCTACCATATAACTTCGTTCCGAAATATAACTCGTCTTGTAACTTTTTAACCCGTCCCGTGATTTGTTTTCTAAAAATAGTAATTTTTAAAATTTAACGATTATTTGTTATATATAAAAGTTTGCAAATTGTATCATTTTCTAAGATATTTATATTTTATAGTTTACAATTGTTATTAAGTAACATTATACCACGGGATAATTTTTGGTTTTATACAATCTTTTCTAAATGAGATTCATTTAATATGTCTAATATTGGTGGTATTAAAAAAAATAAGGATTTAATCTGTATTGAAACGGCGGATTAATGATTTAATTTTTGGGAGACTCACAAAAATGCCCCTTTTTCAATACCCCTTTTCAAAAATGCCCCCTTTGGCTGTCCATTTTTAAAAATACCTTTTTTTATGTACAAAATGACTAAATTACCCTTCTTTTAATAAAAGATATCACAAATATATAAGGAAATATAACAAAATTAGGTCCACAAAATACAAAATATTTTTTGGCGGGAAAAGTGATCCCTCAATTTTTCCCGCCAAAACACTTGTAAAAAACCTTTAAAATACCTTGTAAAATTTTCCCGTAAAATTTTTTCCCGCCAAAAAAATATTTTGCGGGAAAAGTGATTCCGTAATTTTTTTGGCGTTAAATTTTTGGCGGGAAAAATTTACAAGGTATTTTAAAGGTTTTTTACAGGG